TTCTGACAATTGCTCTAGATTTATGCACCTTTCACTTCGCAAACAGGAAATGGAATTCAGTCAGAAATACAACTTTGGGTAAGCTTAAAAGCGCCCTCTATTAAACAGCCGTATAAACATGTACTGTTTAAAATTGTAAAATTACGCTTATGGATTTGTGCATTAGATGTCGCTGCGAAAAATTTAAAGCGGTAAAGTTTACACAATTCGAATTCCTTATTATTTGTAGTATTACAGTGATATGATATGATAGGAGGTAAGCTGAGCGGTGGGGTCAAAATTTCAATTACGAATATCTAGAAAATGGAATGTCAAAAGAAGGTACTCTCAAAAGGTGAAAGGATGGAATCAAGACTTTAAAACCACATATCTTGAAAAGGGAACATCGAAAGAGGGTGCCTTCAAAGGGAAAATGAAAGGTTTGGACGAAAGGTGTCAGTTGGTGTACGGCATATCACTTGCCTAAATGCATGGGAAAATCTAAATCCTCAGCATTCAGTGCGATCATTTCCCTTAACCGAATAAACGTAATACACAGGTACTAACCTTTTATACTACTAAATGATTATAATTTTTCCATGGCACGTCCAGCATCCGCTACTACGAAAAATCTCGATAAGACTTTAATTTCATTCATTTGAGAAAACTCAACAGCCTTGATCAGTCCCACAATCCCAAAAAAATGAATTTAAAATGATTATTTAAAAATCTGGCATAACCTTGGGTACCAACAGAGAATTTGGTCTGAGAACTGCGATTCTCTTTAAACAGAGGCCAACTGAGATTACTTCGGAAACTTGCAAATGTAACATTGGCATGATGGAAAAAACTCCTTGTAACGGGTAACTTGAACACCTTAAAAAGGCTTCACATAAGCTATAAACGCAGGATATACACAACGACTAACTTTTTCGTAAGCGTAGACAAACGCTTCAGCTCGACTCACTTTTATAAGGACGTATTCATAAAATCTCATAAAGCACGGACTGTCTTTCAAAAATAAACCCGATTACTGCAGACTGTCATAAACTAAAAGCGCCCACCAAACAACGATCAACGTCCACCACCAAAAAAGTCACGATTCACGTCTTCCTCTGCTATTTAAAACCTTCTTCCTTCTCTCGGTTCCGTCTCTACTTCTTGCGTCGTCGAACGAAATTAAACACATGTGTTTTCTTACCGGCGAACCTCGCTATTTGCCTACTAATAATTCGTGTAAAAGTGAATTTTGGTATAGTTGGTATAGTTGTAGGCAAAGGTGTCTTAAACAACATAGTAAAAGTACTGATGGTTGCGGGTGGAACGGTTGAGGTGGATGTTAAAAACCCTTTTTTTTAGATTTTTTTGTAAATAAGTCGTAAATGGTGGCCCATAGCAAAAAATGTTCTAATAATAATAATCTACATAAAAGATTCTATATCCTTTTTGGCTGGGATCCATACTTAATTATACATGGAGAGAAGAAGATGGGTAATAAAAAATACTTAGTATGGCACATACAATCCTAAAATTAAAAATCATTTTCTAAATCGATTGCCGAATCATCTGTAAAGAAGTGAAAAGGTTTTCCCGAGTAACTGCAGCGCATTTTCCATTCATTACTCCCCAAAAGCCATAGCTATGTTTTTAGCGCATTTTTTAAGAATTAAAAAAAATGCTATTGTTTGCGTTTTGTCCGTCCGTCCGTCCGGACCCACTTCTATCGTTTTGAACTACTTCTAGGGGAATGGTCCTAGAGTCCTAATAATCTACATAAAAGATTCTATATCCTTTTTGGCTGGGATCCATACTTAATTATACATGGAGAGAAGAAGATGGGTAATAAAAAATACTTAGTATGGCACATACAATCCTAAAATTAAAAATCATTTTCTAAATCGATTGCCGAATCATCTGTAAAGAAGTGAAAAGGTTTTCCCGAGTAACTGCAGCGCATTTTCCATTCATTACTCCCCAAAAGCCATAGCTATGTTTTTAGCGCATTTTTTAAGAATTAAAAAAAATGCTATTGTTTGCGTTTTGTCCGTCCGTCCGTCCGGACCCACTTCTATCGTTTTGAACTACTTCTAGGGGAATGGTCCTAGAGTCCTGGAATATTTTGCAGTAGGTAGCCTATACCTTGAAGGTGTGCCAGACGGCCATCAAATTTCGCTGTCTAAAAGAGCCCCCCCCCCCACGAATTATTTCCTGAGATGCTGTTTTTGAAAGTAAAATGTGCATAACTTTTACATACGACAGCCAGTTGGTCTCAGATTTAGCATGTATTCTAATTATAGGTCTCAACGAAAGGAATAGTTTTCTACAAACTACTGCTGTTCTTTTTGTCCTCTTATCAAAGTACGGGGAGGAGGGGAAAGGGTGGGGGGAGTGGAACTAGTTTTATCCTTCATGGTACTCTAATGAAAGGTCTGAACGAAAGGAATTAATGTATACTAACCATAGTCTTCCTCCTCGATCCCATGTCGTGATCGGTTATAGTTCCTTATATCTTTAAGAGTGAATTGTCAAAGGAAAGTACCTACAAAGGGCGATTGGGACGTTTGGAAGAAATATAACCATTGGACATTTAAGTAAAATTTGATACATAGCCACTTGGAATAAAAGCAAATGTACCACCATTTTCAAAGTTTGGTTTTGCGCATGCGCAGTGCCAACTGTCTTATTTACGGAGGAATTTAAATAAAATTTGATACATAGCCAGTTGGAATAAAACCAAATTTAACGCCAGTTTCAAAATTTGGTTTTGCGCATGCGCAGTGCCAACTTTCTTATTTATGGAGGCGTTTAAATAAAATTTGATACATAGACACTTGGAATAAAAGCAAATGTAGCAAATTTGGTTTTGTGTAGGATGTGCAGTGCCCACTTTCTTATTTATGGAAGAAATTTCGTAGGATAGTTTAAAAAAATGCGCTTTACCTGCACAAGGATTATGCACAATTTGTACTTGTTTTTACTAGAAGCATCTATGGTTAAATTAAAATTCGATATCTTATGTATATAACTTTTAAATCCAAAATATACAGGGAATATACATTGCATATACTATGTACATTCATTATGGACATTGGACATATGTATTTTACGTCCAGTATGGATATTCTATAAATATAAATTTGGGCACACAAGGTATAAAATATATGCATCTTAAATCTACCAAAATATACACAAAAGTATGACGCTCATTGGTATGTATATCTTAGGTGGGTACCTCATACTTTGAAAGTCTAGACCTGATTTCATATACTGCTTCATCATTGATAGTCTATGGTAATACATGGGATTGAGGATAAAGGTGGATGTCTCTGACATCAATAAGCGATCGAGTGTGTTCGGCGAGGGTGTCCATTTGCAGGTCCTGCCTGATGGTGGTGTTCGAAACAAAGTAGGGGGCTCTGGTAATCGCGCGCAGCGCGGTGGATTGTACCGCTTCCAGTGCGGTGGAGTTGGACTTCGAAACATACGCCTTCCAGCCTGCAGAGGCGTATGTCAGCACGGGGCGAACGTAGCTCTTGACCAGGTGTACCTTCGTTGTTGGCGCCAGCGCTGGTGATGATAGTAGAGGGTACAACCTGGATCTTGCCCTCCGTCCTTTGGCGATCGTGTCTGCTGCGTGTTGCGTGAAATTTAGTCGCCGGTCGATTAGGACTCCGGTCTAGAGTCCTGGAATTTTTGTAAATAAGTAGCCTGTACGTTGAAGGTGTGCCATCAAATTTCGCCCCTCCATGAATTATTATGCTGTTATTGAAAGTAAAGGGTGCAATTGGTTTCAACTTGGTGCCAACTATAACTTTTGTAAAGTTGGGAGGGGAGTGGGTGAACATACGTTCTGCTCTTCATGGTTTTGCAATGAAAGGTGTCATCGAAATGAATTGGTTTGTATATTTCAAGAACAGATAGTCGGAGGAGGGTACTCGTAAAGGGTGATTGAGACCTCTGGAAGAAATATATCCATTCATGATGTCAAAACTTTTAAGAGCGAATATCTCAAAAACGGTTTGTCGGAGGAAAGTACTCTCAAAGGCAAAATGAATCGTCTGAACGAAGACGAAGCAAATATCTTGAAAATGAAGTGTCGGAAGAGGGTAAGTGAAAAGTGAGGACGAGGCATATGTCAAAACTAGCATCCCCAACCATTTACTACGCTATTTTGGTTTAAAAAATGCCCTTTATCTGCACAATTTATACTTGTTCATTTTTAAAGCGTTTTATTTCAAATTATTGAGTTTTTTTACTTGATTCCTCCCGTTGCCAAGTTATCTGATCTTATCCAGACTTTTCATTTTCTGTGCTGTTTAACGGAATTACACGCATGCAGTTACATTAATTTTCGTATTCATTCTTCCGTTAAAAGATTACGTACGAGAAGATAAACGATGGGATTTTAACATTTCTGAATCTGCATTTCTTTTCAACTTCGTAATGACGCATTTGTCATTAAGAATTGGGAACGAGATGAATACGAATACCTCGAGCTAAAAATTGTCACGAATTAAGAAAAAAGAGTGTAATAATAAAACGCATCTTAATGTCATCTTATGTATACGGATTTGCCAAAAGATTAATTACGGTCATATATAATATGAATGTCATTTACTGATACTAAATTTTCAGTAAGACGTTTTGTCATAAAACATCTCGGCGCTGTTTGATCGTAATAAATAATAAGTATTAGGCAATAATAAAAATACGCGCACGGCACCATCAACTTTCAAGGTAATTAAATATTTAATAACCATCTTAGTTAAAGCATTAAGTAATTAAGAAACTAAAGTTAACAAGGGAAAGTGGCGGTTGGGGTTGAAAGCTTATTTGTATTATATTACTCTTAAATGTCCTGTATTAAAAACATTTCGTTGTATAAATATTTAAGCAAAAGTACCTACACGAAACGGCTATTAACTTAAAACGTACCTATATACATTACCACTACAAATATGTGTTAAAAAGAAAAGGTAGGTAGGTGCCGAACGAAAAGGTGCAGGTGCGAATTGGCTTACCTGTAACGGGATTAATCTGGAAGGTGGTGTTGCTTGGAATCAAATAGTATCGCACGGCGGAATTCGCGCCGACATCCGCGTCCGTCGCCGTAACGTTACCGACAAAGGATCCTCTTCGGACATTTTCCTCGACGCTGTACTCGTACACTTCCCTGCTGAACACTGGATCGTTATCGTTAGCGTCTAACACTTTCACTACAACCCGCGCCGTTGCCGTTTGGCTAGGCGTTCCGTTGTCCGTCGCGATCACGCTGAAGTAATGCGCGTCTTGATGTTCGCGATCCAAATTTCGATGCAGGTATATCCAACCGCTGTTGGGAAAGATGCCGAAAATCTCTGAAGATGATTCGCCGACGGAATCGTTGGACGCGATTAGACGGTATGTTAAGCGGGCGTTGTTTCCTGTATCCAAATCCAGGGCGGTTACTTGCAAAATCTGTAATTGGAAAGGATTAAATTAAAACAAAGTACAAGTAGGGGTGAAAACTATTTCTCCTCCTATAGTTATTTTGGTTAGTTCAGTAGTGTTCAAGTTTGCCTGAAGAAAGGTTTCGCTAACCCTGTCCATAGAGGAAAACCTATATGCCCTGTCATTACGTTTTAAAACTCTACTTGAATTTTTGAGACCCCTCTCGACGTTTTCCGTTTTATAACAAGCGTCAAATTCGGCGATCGACAAAGTTCGTGGTGGCGTCATTACAATAAAAAACATTTCGAATCGTTCACGTGACTTTTGCTCACCATCGGGAGCGAGAATGTGTAGAGTTGGTTGCCTATAGCATCTATTCCATGCATTGGCATGAGTATTTTTAAAGTATTCATACTACATAGCCCATAAGTATTAATGTATAATAATATAATATAATATGAACAAATGCTAAAATTCAAATAAATCATTTTATTGGTGAAAAATTCGACCTTCTAAAGCGCATTTTCGCGAACGGAACGAAAACAATCGCGTGGCATACCTTATGATACCTAGACCAGGCATTCAGCACCACAAATGTCGTGAATCACTGGGGACCATATGGGTCAGGTTTAAAAAAATGCTCACACACGTCTATGACACTTTTTTCTTGTTCATTTGCTGCACAGAAAATATACAGGGTGCGTCAGAAAGTAGATTCCGATACCAAAGTTGATTTTGTAAAAGAAGTATTTTTAAAAATCAATTTTCGTAGAATTTGACACAGAATTCGAAAATGGATTTAAAAAAATACTGTTCCATTTAAAAAAATTATCTTTGGTAGCGGAAGATACTTTATGACGCACCCTGTATATTTCCTCTGTAGTGCAAAAAATGCGTAAGGGAAAATTATGATAGACGTGTGTGAGAATTTTTCAAACACCGGATTTTTTTCCATATTTTAGCCGCTCACTGTATATATAGATAATACATTACGTATATATGTATAGCCTAAAGCTACAGCCACTTCGTAATGTAAGATGAAGGAACCCCTTTTTGCGCCGCCTATGGTTTTCACTTGTTTACATTCGGATGCTATTGCGCATGTGCGGTGTTGTACTTATGGTGCAAAATATATCTCTGTCCGTATTAGACAGACGCTCCTTATTGCAAGTTAATGGGTGGCTAAATAAAGCCGTTATTATTATTATTATGTACCTATAGACTCGGCCCAATTTATTCGCCTTTATCTCAGGACCTTCACTGGAAACCACTTCCTCAGCCCAAAAAGAAAAAAAAAACAATAAACACAAGTCTACTTGACTTTCAATAAATACATACATATACACTGTGTTCGAGATAAGAGGGTCACCCTAGGGGGAAACAACTTTGAATTTTTTGTGTACACCCCTCTGAATTAATTTGAATTAACATGAATTAATTTGAATTAGTCTGAATTACTTAGAATTAACGTGAATTAATTTGAATTAGCGTGAATTAACATGTATTAACGTAAATTAATTTGAATTTGAATGTTTGGTGTACACCAAAAATGGTACTTGTTCTCCTTAAGAAATATTCCTTTCTAAAAACTCATCGATTCCTGAAAAAATTGCTCTTATAAATCCCCAGAAAATTCGCTTCAGAAAATTTGGTTGCGCTTAAAAAATCGCCCTTGGAATGTTTCATCCCTAAATGCTTGTTCCCGGAAAAGTTTCTCACTGGAGATATTCGCTATAGAAAAATTCTCATCCTGAAAATGTAGCCTCGTAAAAATCACTATTGTCTTATCTTCAAAGACTTGTTCCCGAAAAGTTTCTTCTGGGAAAGTTCCCTATGGAAAAATTCGCTTCCGGAAAATGTAGGCTTGAAAAAATCGCCTTGGGGATATGCGCACCGGAAAATTCTTTCCTGGAATAATTGTATAACAAATTGTTGTCCTGGAAATTTAGCCCCGAAAAATCGCCCTTGGAATATTTGACATTAAAAACACGGCTCGCCCTGGAAAAATTCTTGTCCAGAAAATTTAAACACGAAAAAATCGTTCTTGGAAAGCTTTTCCCTGGAATACTTGCGTGACCCACAAACACTCGTTCTGACAAAAATTGCCCTGGAAAATTCGTTTCTCGAAAATCGCCGATTCCTGTAAAAATGGCCCTTAGAAATCTCCTGAAAATTCGCTAAGAAAAATCGCTCTCATAAAAAAGGCTCGTAAAAATCTACCTTCGCTAGAATACTTGCGTGAATAACTCCAGAAAATTTGATGCGCTCTAAAAATCGCCCCTGGAATATTTGACCCCTAAAGGCTTGTCCTCCGAAAAAAATATACGAGACAAATTCGCTATGAAAAAATCGCCTTTTAAAATGCTTCCGTGCAAGATTCAACCCGTAAATTCATACAGGGAGTATTCGCATCTACGAATTTTCCTCCCGTAATATTTGCGTGACTCCCAAAAACTAGAAGGAAAATTGTTCTGGGAAAATTCTCTATGGAAAAATTCTCTTCCGAAAAATTTACCTACGGAAAATGTAAGCTCCCAAAATTGCCCGTGAAACATTCGTCCAGAAAAGGAAATTCGTCTACAGAAAATGTTGAAAAAATCATCTTTCGAATATTTGGTTCCCAAAAAATCGTCAAAGAAAAATTTGCGTTGGAAGTTTATGCCCTGGAATACTCGCTTAAAAAACTCGCCCCGAAAACTTGCGCGGAAAACATGTCTCCAGAAACGTAAAAAAATCGCCCTTGAAATATTCGACCCACAAAAATTGTCCCCTCAAAATTCGTCTTGGGAATATTTGTCGTCGAAAAATTCATTTCCAGAAAATTCGCATACGGAAAGTTTAGCCTCCAACAAAATAGGCCTTGGAATATTTGGCACTTAAAATCTCGTCTCCGAAAAATTCGCCCTGGGGAAATTCTCCATGGAAAAATTCTCGTCTTGAAAATTTAAGATTGATTTAATTGCTCTTGGAAAATTGTTCCCTGGTATACTTGTGTAAAAAATTTGTCCCCAGAAAAAATCCGCCGTTCAAATATTTTACTCGCAAACTCTAGTCCTGGTAAAAATTTGCCTTCGAAAAATTCTAGATGGAAACAACTTTGAATATTTGGTGTACACCCCTCTGTGTTAATTTGAACGAACGTGAATTAATTAGAATTAACGAGAATTAATGTCAATTAACGTGATTCAATTTGAATTAACGTAAATTAATTTGAATTTACGTGAATTAATTTGAATTTGAATTTTTGGTGTACATCAAAAATGGTACTTGTTTTCCCCTAGGGGTCACTTCTTTTATTTCGTGAGATACGAAAAATTTGTTAAATATAATTTTATATGTGACATTACGATCTCTCTAATCGCATATTGAAACTACCGGTTTCACGTCCGGTTCAACCGGAATTGGAGACAACTTATGTTTTTCAAATGCAATGGCAATGCCTTTTAAGATCTTTGAAAAGAGGTGTATCAGTTTGCTGCACAACAACACAATGATAACATAGTAATATATGCATATGCTGATATACAAAAAAATGGAAAAATGCGTGATTCAATGTTTAGAAAACTTATGACATCTAACATGCCGTGTGGTGTCATGATAGGCGGTAGTTGTTGTGTTACATAGAAAAGGCCTAGATCAACTTGTTCAATGTTGCACGATGCAATCTCCCCATATAACATAACAAACACCGCGCATCCTGACAGCACACGGCATGCTAGATTTAATCAGTTTTTTTAAATATTGAATCACGAATTTTTCCATTTTTTGTATATCAACCATGTGCACATTTTAGGTTGTCCTGCAGCAAATATATTACTCTTTTCAAAGATCCGAACAGAACATAGGTATTGCATTTCAAAAACAAAAGTTGCATCGATTTCCTGTTTAAACGGAAGTGATACCGAAAATGTTAATATGCCACCGGTTAGATCGTGATGTCGCATACAAAATATATGACCATTTTTTTCGAATCTTGCCAAACATCAACGATAATTAGAGCACCCTATTTTCTCGAACACACTGTATTGCATTTTTCAAGTAATTTACTTTCCCTGATCAAGTACTTACAATACGCACTAATTTAAGCATAACCCAAAATGAAAAAAATTGGTTTGCGAAAGTGATGAAATTTTACCAAAAATGAGTGTAGCTTATAATCGATTGGAAATAAGTTGTCATATACAGGGTCTCTAAAATAAATTTAAAAAATCAAAGGTTTTTTTCTGAAAGATGCACATCAGTTACTATTTTAAACGCGCTCTTTTTCATGTAATAGAATTTTATAGACGGTGTCCCAAATTTAAGATATGACGTCATCGTTATTTTTTTAATGGGGAGCCTAATTTTCTTATGAGTATTCGTAAATAGTATTACACATGCATACCAAATTTGAAATGTTTATTTTTTATCATTTAGAAGATATTTACCAAAGGGGAATGCCAAAAGGAAATAAAATAAATAAATAGTCGATGACATCATAAAAAGCGCAATTTACAATATTGATCGATATGTCGGGGAAAATTTTCGAAAAACCCTTGTTTAGACTCATCCTGTATACCGCGTATTTTTCTTTTTTATTGATATTTTCACAAATGTGATAAGTGCGCGGGCCTTTTATGTGTCTACAATAAACCATATACAGGGTGTGTCAAAAAAAAGGCCCGATTTTATCCACGTATACTACTCATGATATGACCTCAAAAATCTTAAGAAACATAGCTCCGTAAACTAAGTGTTTCAGAGGCAATTCAGCTCCTTTTTAGCTTCTTTTCATGAGTAGGTACCTGGATAATATATCGGACCTTTTTTTAAACACCCTGTATATGCTCAATCAGTGCAAATGACGAAATTTAGTATACGAACATCGTTTACCCAAGTCATAACATCCGTACGACAGTGCAGCCTCATATAAGAGGCGAGATTACCCCACATAGGTAAGAAATCTTAAATACGGGTAATCGGACATGTCGCACCCTGTATATTCTCTGATAACTTTCTCTTGGACGTCCTCAATGGGGGATTTGCTTTGGATTAACAAGAACACTGCTCCCCATTAACAATTCTACTGGCTGCATTGCGAAAGCTTACTTGCAAACACATTTTTAAAGAAAATCTAATTAAAACAACGTACGAGGAGTTAATTGCAATCACGAACGTGTGCTCATTAATCACGTAATAAATAGTACAGGAGGAATAGCCATCATGCTTGATTGAATGACGAACTATAATATGTTTGTTGGTATAAAAGGCTTAAAAACACACGAGAGCATCTACCCCAACACATCACTGTCAAAAGATTAAAGCAGGCCGTTATTAAAAGGAGAAACTCTGGTTCTATGAAAGGGTGTTAGATCAGTGACCTACGAGAGGATTTTCAAAATATCTCCAGATTGTATCGGCTTCTAATTTCTCCAAGAGGTGGGATTGGTATTAATCATTTTAAAAAACCACGTACTAAAAATTGTTATAACTGGATAATTAATTATAAATTTTCTACGTTGGAGGTCTCATATGTGGGAAAGGCAGTATTGTTTTTATTAATTTTGCGACAGTTCTACAACCAAGTTTCACGTAGACCCCGAACAGATTATGTCATTGTCGCTACCTGGTTTAACCACTTAGAGGATAATCCCATTACAAAGAAGAAGGCATATTTAATTAGGTCAAAATACCTGTGAGTTGACAGGAAGAGATTCCGGCACTTTAATCGTATATTCCGCCCGTTCAAAAACAGGAGGATTATCGTTAACATCTTGGACCTCGACGAGAACGGTCAAGTTCGCCGAAAGGGACGGAACTCCGGTATCGGAAGCGGTAATGATCAGGCTGTGACGTTGAACGGTCTCGTAATCCAGATTTCTGATGATTGTGAGATGGCCCAATTTCGGATCGACTGAGAATAGACCGGCCTTCAGGGCGTTATTCGACAGCTTATAGCGGACCACTCCGTTAATACCCGAATCTTTATCCCTCGCATTGGCCGCGTAGATGGGTGTTCCAATTTCAACGTTTTCAGGTACCGAAATTCGCACCGTGCTCGATTCGAATTCGGGGGAGTTATCGTTCACATCTTCAACTTCAATATTGACCTACAGAAAAAAAAGAGAGAAGGTTAAAACCAACTTCCTCGGAATTTAATCTTTATTCACCGCAAACAAACCGAACATGATTTCTTACTTGGGTATGTCCATAAGCGGGCGGATTGCCGCTCGTCGCCTGAATGTTTAGAAGAATGCTGGCTCTCATCTCATGATCCAAGGTGGACGCCGTGCGGATTGAGCCGGTCGAAGCGTCTATGCGGAAAAATCCATCGGGATCGCCGGAATATATGGAGTAACGGATGGCGTGGTGACCTAAAAAGAAACAAAAGGTTTTGAAAACACCACGAATTGGAATGAAAAAGCTTATTCTATGAATAGCTTATCGAAATCTATTAAAAAGGCGCAGTACCTCCCGCGAGGAAATACAACACATACAATTTGTTTTTCTCTACCCTCTTGTGTTATATCCTTACTAGATAGTATTATGTGTAAAGAGAGACGGATTGCTTGTTAGAAACCGGCTTTGTATTCGCGATTATGGATGTCAGGTTTGTTTAGGTGTTTTGTTTAAGAATAAAAATGCGTTTATAAATTGGCCTGGGTTTGATATCGGATACCCTCGACATTAATTACGCGCCCTCCACGTCCAAGTGAGATGCTTTCTCGTCGTGTTAATTACATCCATTTCTAATTCAATTTTCTTTAATTGGAAATGCTAGTAAAAAAAAGTATGGGAGAAAGTCGATGTGGGAATTTAGTCGTCTTACAAATGCATGCTCCGAGTCATTAGCATAACACAAGAATAATTTATTAACAGGAAGATCGATAACATCGACCTTAGTACCTTATACATTGATTTTTTTCTACAATTTTTAAATCTCAAATTATGTAAGCGATAAATCAGGAAATGCCAGTTTACAATCCATAGAAATATGAGCGCAACGAGCTGCCGTTTCTATAAAAAAATCCTGCAGCCAGTTTTTAATTAATTAAGGAAGAAAATGGTTAACTGAAAGTATCTAATTGCAACTTAAAAGATTCCTAATTAGACATTCTGTAGCAAACCGCGATTTATTTCTGCAGAAGCCCATCGTATCGTACAAGTCCGAGCTTACATGAAATAATCAAACAATGGACGTCAGCAATCAGGATGAATGAAAATAAAAAAGAAAAGTGGGGTCTGCATGAGGTATTAGATTAGAAGAAACTAATATAATGCACTTTTTTTATATTCAGGTACATAACGCGCTCAAGATGCCATTCCAGTAAGAATACCCATGTACGCGATAAGATGAGGCTTCGAAAGTCGGCGTTAGACTGTTGACGTTATCACAAAGTTTTAGAATACAGATATAAATGACGCTCGCCAACTCAAATTTAGTAAATGAATTACGAGGGTTCTAATGACGTTCAGAATGAGCCAGTTGAAGATTTTGAATACGTTCTGACATAAATTAAAGAAAATATGACAACCAATGCGGTATTAATGAATTCAATGCATTATGCAAACCATCAGTTACTATCAAAACATTTAGAATTTAAGCAAAAGTAATTGGCGCGATATATTTTTTAAGCTGAAACTGAAAGATTACATGAATGTGGCGGAAGGAACACAGAAATTGGGAACTGGCGATGGTTGTGGCTGTGTACATCAAGCACCTGAAGACTGTGTGTCACTACTAGGGAGTCTTAGGGACCTTTAAGGGAACATTTAAGCATTTTAAACTCTTAAAAACTCTTCAAGACACTCGGATTCTTTTAAACACCCTCATACCATACCATAAAAAGTCGTTTGAAAGTTTTCAAGGATTCCAAAAGCCAATTAAAGAAACTCATAATCTCGAGAAGACACTAGGAGACTCTTAAAAGCGTATGAAAAACCCTTGGAGACATTTGGAAGCTCTTAGAAACTGCCAGTGGCTCGTAAATACTCTTAGAGATCTTTAAATGCACTTAAAAACCCTTAAAACCAGTAAGGAGTTTTTAAAGTTTTCAAGATTCGGATATGAAATACTGCTAAAAATTATAAAATGCTGTTCAAGTCCCTTCAGCACTCACTGAAGCTCTTAACAGGCCTGTCACCAGAATGCAATGGATGCCACAGAAAACTCTTGTAGAGAAAACCGTTGGTGACTCCTGAAGGCTCTTACTACCAAATCCTTTTTCATACAGGCTCTTAAACTTTAATGAACCCTAACGGCTAATTAAAGCTCTTAAAAAGCTCATTGAGGTGCTTAGGCATTCTCAAGTTTAAAGAAAACTAAAAATAGCTGTAACGGGTGGTCGCTTTAGAATTAAAAAAAAGTATTTTTTTCGAATTTCTAGGGAAAAATTTACATATGTACCGCTTCATAGCGAACGTGAACGAGAGTATGTCTGGTGATAACCAGCGATAGCAAAAACCGTATTGCGAATAGTGAGCGCGGTTGCCACAAGTTCTGTTTATAGCCAAGCGCGTGACAAAATGCAGGTTTGCGGTCTGTTTACAAGGGTATCTCATACTCATCTACCGGATGAGATTCAAAAGCGGTGTGGGGGAGCGACAGATTCTTGCTCGAGTTCTCGAGTCGAGACGTACTCTTTTGTGCGTAAATTTTTTCTACCGTTGAAGATTCATTCCGAGTTGATTTTCGCCAACCATCGCACACCATTTTAAGTGCGCCGAAATTGAATTCTGAGCGAAGTTATAAAAGCAGGCGCGTGCCATTATCGAGAAATTTTAATTCGTGTATTTGCGAGGATTTTCGGTGAAAAAATTCATTAGCCACCACGCACAATTCTTTCGCGCGAGTTCCTATCGAACTAGTTTTCTTTTAAGTGGAAATACAGCAAGTTGTTGCTACATTTCAACCGCATCGTTAAAAAGTATGCAAGTTGAATCAGATGGGTGACAAAGTGCGGGTTACCTGCCACCTTAATTTTGTGTTGGTACGGTAGTTTTAGCCCAATTTGTAACAAGGCCGTTCATTTACGAATGATACAATTTACGCGAAGGAACATTTTCGAGTAGGAGCGCTCTTAAAATCAAACCGCGAGTAAATGAACTAAATTGTAATTCACAGAAAAGATTCTTTTTGGAATTTTTAACAGTAACGGCTCGTTAAAAGCAAGTTCTTTAAAGTTGAGTGACGTCGCGCCTTGTGCGATAAATAACATTTTATATACAACGGCATACGGCAGGGCAGGGAATTTAAAAGCAACAAAAACTAGTTCATAAATTGGGCAAAATTAGTAGCAACACGATGGAATATTGGCATTTTATTCCTTTGCATAGACACTGAAGCCGGTTTGCTCGGATTGGCAAGACCTACTGACATTTTGTTTTTCACTCATGTCTCAACTGTACCAATAAAGCAATCTGTTTCCATATTTCTAAATGGAGCGGCATTTTTCGAGGAGACATAAGATCAAATTATTTCCTGAATTATTTTAAATGTTTTGATTTGTATAAAGTAGTGGCCGATTATTTTTCGGATTTTGCATAATAAATTTTAATTTTAATATTCCTAAAGAAATCGATCTATGAGAAACATTTGCTTGAACAGATTTTCTAATGTAGTTATTGATGTAGACAAAGGATTTTGGTTATTTTGGTTCATGAATTGAAGGCCATTGAATACTTTAAAAGGCAAATGAACGTGTCTAAAAGTTTCTAGAAAGTTCTTGAAGATGCTTGTACTTTCGAAAATTCTTAACGCATATTAGTGTCTTGTGTGTATTTTTAAAGGCAATAAAACACTTTAGAAGCTGTTAGAATACTTGAGAGCTCGTACAGAGTGTTAATGGTGTTTAAATTTCTAAAAACTATTTTTAAGTACCCTTTAATACTCTTAAATTCTCTTGAACTTTCTTAAGGGCGAATAAAAATTTTTGAGATCTCTTAAGGTCTTATAATCGCGATTTTTTAAAACTTTCTTGGAAGGTTGAAATAGATATTTATGTAACAAATTCCACGCTGAAGTTCGAGTGCGAGATTGAAATTCAAAATTGGTGATCCAAGAGTAGAGAATTCAATTTCGATATTAAAAATTAGGCAAGTTCATCATATAAAATTTTCTTCAATTTTTTTAGAATTTCTCGATGCATTAATTGAAGGTCTTTGTGAAACTTTTAATACCACAAGGAGAATCAATCCTGAGATCGGGGTGAACAGTTGAAAACGAGCATTTTTGGGATTTTATCAAATCTTACTATGCATGTAAGGGTTATTTTGAAAATTTTTACGTGGAATCCAGTGGCGAAGTCAAAACAATTTTGGACCATCGGTTCTGAGATTTGACTCAGAGCTATTTTTAAGTGCAACACCCTATATATTTTTTAATTTTAGCCATGAAAATCAATAACGACCTGTTTTTAAATAGTAGACCAGGGATTCGTGGAGATTTTGTTTCGTTTATGGTATCGATACCAATAAAATACGAGTAATGGCTAACGGTAGAAACATGCTATTCCAACATTTTGAAAAATATGATATAATACAGTGTGTCCAAAATAAGAATGAACAGCATGGGGAAATCGGAAACCATACGAGATACACAGTCGGCCAAATTAGAGAAAAGTTGCGTATTTTAGGGTTTCGTAAAAAAACATTCGGAAATTCCGATCAGTTCCGAAGATGATCGAAAAAAACCCTGTTATATGAAGTTAATGATCGTTTCTTAAAGACGATACGTCGCTCGTAGTGAAAATCTGTAGGCACCATCTTGTAGATTATAGAGCTTCAAAAGAGAAAAATAAAAACGAATATGGTCAATTTCGGTTTTTACCGAATACCTTCGGAACTGATCGGAATATCCGAATGTTTAAAACATCATTTTACTAAGCCCTAAAATACTTTTCTCTCATTTGACCGACTGTATATCCCGTATGGTTTCCGATTTCCCCATGCTGTGCATTCTTATCTTGGGCACACTGTATATAATTATATAAAAAATATAGGTTGTGATACATCAGCTAAAAAATACACAAAATATGGGATTCAAAAACTACCAACCTTGGGTAAAATCTCAGAAACGGTGGTCCCAAAATTTGTTTTGACTACGCCCCACTAGATTCTCCGTAATAATATATAAAATAGGTAGTTTTCCCCTTTATTTCTGCCTTACATGGGTAGTAAGATATGATAACGTCCTAAAAAGATAAACTTTTCATTTTCACCCTGTGTTTCAAAAACAAAAGTTTCACACAAAAAGGGCATACGGCCTCCAAAACCGCAAGTCTCTACCTTTAAAAACAGCTGAGATACACTACTGTAGTCTCAATTAAAATAGGACACACAGTATACATGACATCTGGCTATGGTTCAAAAATCA